AAGCACCCAGCAGCTTGTCCAAACACACTTTTCCTTAAAAGAACTTCTCTTCTTTATCTTCTCACAGTCCCTAATCCAAACCCAAAACTGTAACTTGGCTGGGTTACTTCAGGTCTATATGGGTTACAGCAGGAAGAAGTGGGTAGTTTATGGAGGACTTGTAAAGGTAATTATTTTCTCAAAACAGAATTCAAATGATATATAACTTTAAAAGTCAAGTTCAAGAGCCTCTAACAAGTCCAAACGGGGCTCTTAAGGTTTGCTCCTCCTTAACAAAGCCATTGCGGTACTGGAGCTAAGTGCTCAAAAGCCACCTCTTCAGTTAAGGCTATACTTTCAGCCCTCAAACCAGGCCAGGCTCACTGGTCAGTCACACATAGCCTTCAACACCTTCACTATCAGTTGAAAGAAACTTCACTAAAGCAGCAAGCCAGCAAGGGTTTGCATGATGGGCAACACCAAGACTTTCCATGCCAGAAGAGCCAAAAAAGTAGTGCCCCCTCTCAGTCTTACCTGGGATATAGCAAAAGGATAAAGAGCCCACAAATGTCAGGGCTCAAGTCATCTCTCAAGGAAATAAATAAATACTGGCTGTGGATATCTGCAGAGCCACAAACAACCCACTGGACCAGACTTATAGAACAGTCTGCAAACTGCCCCCCAAATAATTTCTGAACTGCCTACCAAGACAAGGCACCCCACTAAAGCATTAATCTGTGCAGTAGAAAGCAGTTCCGGCTGTATGTCCTGCCGTGCGTAATGTGTAGGCACCCCAAAAATGACTTCCCATGTTTTCTTCTTAAGCAGAAATGGAAAAACTAGCCTTCTAACAATCACCCTTGCTAAGTATACAGCCAAACAAACAACAGTCTGCAAGCAGAAGACTACTGCTCACACTTTATTGAGAATGTGAACATTAAACAAAGTCTTCCTGTTTAAACACTACTCCAGCTATTTCATGACCGTGTAATTATTCATTAAGGCTGATATTAGAAACATCTCCTGTTGGATTGTTCTGGTTATTTGAATTCTCACCCTCAGCTGGGACTGAAAAAAATAGGAAAGTCTCCAGATCTGGGCTGGTGGGGGCCTTTTGCATAAGAAGGTGTTCAGTCTTTTAAATGGTGAAAATAATAGGGAAAAACATACACATCTCAAATTTGGATCAGGAGCCAGTGGAGAAATATTCACAAATAGCAATTCTCCATGCTTGCCAGGTTTTTGCTCTAGAAGTAATATTAAGCACAGCTCTGTGTCTGTGAATTGTGAAACACTTTATATACTAATAAAGAATGTGTACTTCATTGTGTATTTAACTGCATAAGCCTACATTTGGTTTAATTGACCAAGAATAAGTCCTTGTTCCTAAGCTAACTATCAAGTTACAGTCAACTCTTAAATATTAACACTCATATTGAAGAACAAAGATGTTAGCTAATGCAAAACAGAAGATTATTCTGAATCGTTCACTCTTGGTATGCAGATATATTCTTTCTTTTCTCTTCTTTTAACTTGAAATTAACTGTGGATGCCTGCTATGATAGCATTTACAATACTTTCTAACAAAGGACTCAAACCGCACTGGAAAAATCTTGGGGATGTCTTCATGCAAACCCAATGCTCAAGTTCTCTGCTTTTGAACTCTGGACCAATTCCCATTGGTCCAGGATGGCATCACCCATCTCCCCAGAAGACTGCTAAAAAAAAAAAAAAAAAAACAGTGAAGCCCCCAATACAACAGATTAAAAAAAAAAGTACTTTTTATTTCCAGGTTGCTGCTTTTCAGAGTCACACTTTGTGAAGTGGGAAAGTAATTAAGGGTTTGGGGTTGGAAAGCCCTTTTATTTTAGCTCCTACTGGGCTGGTGTAAACAAAGATTCTGTTAATGTCAACAGTGACTTAATTAACCAGAGTAGGTGACAACATCAGAAAGAATTTGAAAGTAAGAGTTGCCTCCTCTCCTAATCAAGTTTGACTATACTCCAAACATTCAGAACCTCAATGAAATGGTACTTGGTGTTGAGGTCTAGCCCCCTCTCAATCAATAATTATATTTACGTCCTTCAGCTTTTCCTACAACAGCAAATGACCAATTGGAAATATCGTTTTAATTAGCTAAGATCTTCCAGAGATTGTTTTCTTCTTCTTAGGTCAACTGAGTAGACCCAACCCCACTGTTTCCACTTGTACCAGTGTCCAGAAGACACACATATGGTAGGATCTGATATGATGACATGTGATATGATTTTGTACAGAGTCAAGACAACTGGATGTAACCTTCCCCAGAAAGGGTCCTCCAGTGCCCAGGCTCCTTCCAAGAACCTCGTGATGACTTTTTCCTCTGGTCCAATCCCCATCATCTAAACAGTACTTCCAAATTAGCAACCCAAAGTTTTCCAAGAAAAGGCTTTAGACGATTAAAGCTGACCTTACTGTTGGCAAAGCTATAGTTACACTGTGGAGGACAAACAGATGGACAGACACAGGTACACATTTACCTATAAACTCCAATTTGGCAGCACCAGGGCCTCACCTGAAACTGCTCTAGCTGGCATAAAGGTATTGAAAACTCCTTTCTCACCTGTATTTTGATTACCTCTAATACAAAGGAAAACTCAGCAAATAAACTGGTCTTAAGGCTCAAATCTGATAACAATGCTGGGCTAACGGACAAAGGAAAAATGGACCATACAGAGAACAGGCAAGGCTGCATCCTCCTTCCAAGAGCAACTTTTCTTCAAGTGTCTTTTTCTCAACACTGTGGCAACTGGCACAGCCAGCCCAAGGGACTGAGGACAGGGATGACAGTAATGACCACACTGATGCCAGGCGCTAAGCTACCTGCATTTTATGTCCAGGTCAAAGTGAAATCCAACCACCTTTCAAGGGAGACAACCCCCCCAAAAAAAAAAAAACTGATAAAGAGACCCTAAAGATCACCCTCAACCTTCAAATAACAGAAAAGGAAACTGAGGTGCAGGGGCTCTGCTTTTCCAGAGCCACCCCTTCATGGGGCTTCGTATCTTCCCCTAAACCATTATCTTTTTCTTACTGTCTCACAACTCTCGATGCAAAGCTCAAGGAAATTCTGAACCCAGAAAAGTACACAAAAAGGACACCAGAATAAATAATTTAGGATTTCAGGGACTTGGTGGCCCTCCTCCCTGACCCCGGCATGCATCCACAGGTCCCCAGCCAGCAGGATCTGCTTTCAACAATGCTCACATTGTTGGGGACCAATTCCACACAAAGAGCCATTTGGGGGACTCCATCCCTTCCCACTGTTCTTCCTTCTCTACCTCACCTGTCTCTCCCTGCACATACACACATATTTTAAACTTCCTCCAATAATTAAAAGCAGTAAAAGAAATCCTCCAGGACCATTTTACACTTTATGTTGAAATAAACTCACAATAACACTGCCCTGAAAATCCAAATGAAAAATGACAGTTTTTTTCCTAACCTGGAAATCCCAGCTCAGCTTCTTTAGTTGTGCCGAGCGCCATACTCAGGGGAAAAGCAGTAATTAGGGGAACATCCATTTTAATTATTAGCAAAATTAAATAAGTATAGGCATGACTTTGAGAAACCAGAAACCTTTCCCCTCACATTAAGCCCTTTAAAAATGCATCACCACTGCAAATTACATTCGGTCTGATGTCACAGCACAAGTCACAAAGAGGCAGATCCAAAATGGGTCTGGAGGTGCAGTCTGAACAAGCCTCAGACACAAACTCCTGCCAGGTTCTCTATTCTAAGACACAGTAGGCACCATGATGTCACACCTGCTAATTCTAAAGGCGCCATGTCTCTGTGTGTCCAAAAAGCTCCCCAGTCTCACTCACAGGCTTCAGGTGACAAGGTGCCTCGGTGGATCTTACTGGGGCCTCGTCTCTCAGACTCTCATCTTGGATGGGGGTGCAGCCCTCCTTGGCTAAGGAGGCTGGGCTTTCTGTCCCCTCCCAGCCTACCGTTCTGAGGGGACCCAACTATACCTCCCTACCGGGAGGCCAATACATTCCACAGTAGCTCGGCTGGTCCGGCTCTCAGGACCACAGCAGGCTCCAAAGCCCAGCCGGCACCAGGTGGGCCCTCAGCAAACAGGTTCATTAACTGGTGATGAGTGCTGGGATCTACCATTTTATGCTCGGATTACCACTGGAAAACTAACTCGGCTACGCATATTCCCTACCGATGACAGATTTTAATGCTGCACCAAGTGGAGACTTGGCTAAAGAAAGTGTCTCCAAAGGACCTGAGAGACAGATGCCAGATCTGCCCAGTGGCGTGCTTCATTTCAGCCTGGTGTCATCCTCACTGCTGGCCTTCCATCTTTGCAATGAAGTCTCCAAAGACAAAACAGCCATGTGTACCCTGCGAGCTCTGACGTCCTCAGATCAGGGAGACCCCTTGGTATATCTCCTTTCAAGACTCCCTAAAATAGAATCTGCCACTCTGTGACGCCCTGCTCAAGTATTTTGAATTACAATGGCTTAGAAAAAGTCTACTACAACCAGGCTCCCTGGGCTGAACTTCAGAGCCTGCTTTTCTCTTTCAACAATGAAAATAAAACGTCAGCATTTCAGATGCTAGCAGTTTCCCTCAGAGGTTCCTTTTGTCAGAAAATAGCAATTCTTTACCAGGGGAGCAAAATCCTACAGGAGGCCATAGATGACTGTCACTGTGCTAAAGCATGTCCCCTCCACAGCTCTCCTGGGCACTGGCTCAAGGAAAACTGCCCCAGCCTCCTTCACCCAGCACAGAGATACACACACTCTAAAACCAAAAAAACTATACCACTCTGCTTGCTGCCTGACAGCAAAGAACCTTCTCTCATAAGCTCTGTCTTGGGGGGCAGGAGGGAGCTGAAAGACCCCCTTTTCTTACCACAATACCCGGGCAGCTCACTCAGAAACAGGCCTTCCCATTAAGTGCCACTCCCTCAGACAAAATCCCAGAAACAAACTTGGTACTCTTGAAAGTGAAATGAAGGAACTTACCTTCCGGCTCTAACGTGGTTTCCTCAACTAAACTGAAGGGGGGCCGGGCCAGGGACACCGTTGCCATGGTGACCACAACCAGGCAGATGAAGTGACCCCAGCAGACCATGGCTCCAGTGCCAATGCCCGGTCCTCTTCCATATCTCCATGTGGACGTTAATCCCATCTGCACACTTCCTCTAGGAGCATGTGCTGCCTTGCCACGCCTTCAGCCCACAGGGGGCTCGGGGGCCAGGGTGCTGCGGTAGCGGCTGGGCTGGGGGCTGCTGGACTCGGGATGCTACTGCCGCTGCTGCAAGAGAGATTCAGCCAGTCAGCGCCATCCTCCCCACGCCAGCTCAAAGCCAAATGGGACAGATGCGTGCCTCAGCCTCCCAAACGGGCAGGGTTAGCTCTTTCTCATCGCCCACAAAAGCCTTCCATCCTCACTAGGTGCTCCCACCAGACCAGCCCACAAGGCTAATCTTTTAAAAAGCGTACTTTTAGGAAGCACTGAGCTAAAACCGTAGACCAGTAGGTACAGCCATCTCAGTGTGCTTCTATCCACTATCGCCTCTTCCGTCCTCAAAAAAGCAGAAGCAACCTGACCTTAGTTTCAAGGACAACTGCAAAAGCCAGTCAAAAATGTTCAGATTGGCACAACCAGCCCCGTTAACTTCTCTTCGTCCAGCTGGGCTTCAGGAAGCTGACCGGTGGAGGCGTCTGCTTACAGACTGGGGTTTCTGCTGGGCTGGAAAGAGGCAGTGTGTTTGTTTCCCCCTTGCTGTAGTTCTCAGGAGAAAGGAGACCAGCAAAATCAAAAGAATCCCAGGAAGGCTACGAAAAATTCCTACCAGTTTACACTTGTCAGGATTCATTTCCAAATGCAGACGTGTATTTCAATCTTTCGCCAAACAGCCATTTACAAAGAATGAACAGACCTGCAGTACATTCAAAGCAGCTAATCCAAAAAGAGATTCAGAGCCTGAATTCCCTTCCACTGGCTGAAGAGCAGCTCAGGCCCACTAAATAAATGTCGTCAACCTGTGTCAAGGGGGTTAAGAAACAGAGCAGATGCAAACTCTGATGAATAATGCAGGAGTTTATTAGTGATGGTGATATGTAAGTTGTCAGGGCCTGTGATTGGCTCGGTAACTTTCAATATGCTAACCTATTGGCTAAAATTCCAAAGTAGCAGTTACAAGGGGACACTCAACTCACTATTCTCTTCACCCTTTTGATTCAAGGCAAAGAGAATTTTTTCAAGAAAGCCTGACATCGTCCAAGTAAATTTAAATTCATTCAGTATCCTCAGTGACTAAGCGTTGGGTCAAAATGCACAAACTTTAGAGAATTTGCTTAAAGCAATCGCAGGAAAAGATATAGCAGTTTTGGGGCTCTAGATTCTGTGATCCACGTGAACCCACGCCATTTTATATAAGATTGGAGGAAGGGTGAGAGCTTCAATACAGAAGCTCCGTATTTGCGCTTTTTTTAAATGCTGACTTGATGTTTCAAATTATGACCTAAGATTTTAACACTGCCAGGACTTCCCCCAAAGCTCTATCCTAAAAATTGCTCCTTTTAGCCTTGACTGAGGACTAAAAAGCAAAGAGAAGCCTTTTAGAGATTATAAAAAACCTGCTTTAAAGAAGACACAGGTGAAACTGTCACGGCTAACGACACAGAAACAGGAAAATTGGGTGTGCACACCCTGTATTTTCGAATGGCTCAAAGACTTCCCCAGCTCTTCTTTAGTCAAGAGCCTCAAAAGATAATTCCGTATCTATTTCTACATACATGTGGGAGGTCAGAACACAACATTCTCATTGATTTACTAAGCATTTCCAGAATGCAGGGGAATTTTCGGCTTCTCTGGCAACTTCGTGAATAGTCTTACATCCTAGCAGGAGGTTTGTCCCAGGGCTGCTTCTCCTCCTTAGCTCTAAGCAAAGAAAGATGGACGGTGCCCTGGGCTGAATCTCAAGTCCTTCATTCACACCCACAGTTCCCACCAGAAACTTCAATTTCAGCCTGGGCCCTGCAGCAGACCCCTCCTCGACCGAACCTCAGGTAGGCGGAGACCGAAGGCAGCAGGTCTGCACAGCTCCACACCAGGGTGGACAAAAGTACGGTGTGACCTCCTAGGCAGGATAATTAGGTCCCAAGGCTCAGTGTTGGGAACACAGGCCCAGCATGCTGCAGGCGGCCACAATCCCAGCTTCCTGCCTTCAATACCATAATCCTTCCTGGAGCCTGAGCCCCAGTGAAAGCCCCAGCGTGTTTATTTTTCCCCCTGAAAGGGAGCTCTCTTCTCAGCCTGCACGGGGAAGGGAGGAGTGTCACCCTCCCTCTGATGGATGGCTCTTCACTCCCGCCCTGCCAGCCCATTTTCACCTCAGCCCAAGCCTGCCCCCAAAACGGTGACCAGTGGTAAGAGCCTGGCTGGTGAGTGGTCCCCACTCCAGGCCTGTGCTGGGATCAGCTACTTAGCACAGCAGTCCCGAACCCCAACCTCCAAGAAGGCAGGCCAACACAGTGTCCACCTAAAGGACTTCCACCTGAGGGACTCTGGTCCCAGGCTGCCTCAGCAGGCATTTCAGAGGTCTAACCCAGAGCCTCATGCACACCAAGCAAACAGTAAACCGCTGAGCTACATCTCCAGCAGCTCACCAGATATTTCGTTCCCAGGTAGTTTCTGCACCAGGAAAGAACAGTGCCAGGGCAAAGTGGGGTGCTGACCCAAAGTGCAGACCTACTTCCTTTATCAAGGCCTCCTACTTCTCCCCAGGACTGAGTAAGGAAGAGGGGTCAAGGAAGGGAGAAATTCTCAATATATTGAAATCTCAAAAAATACAAGCTAACCTAGTCCATCATCCCTCCCTTAAGTACTCTGGAGCTGCTCATCGCCAGCGCCACCCCACTAGACTGTAGCATTTCTTTCTAGGTCTGCCTGGAATATCCAGTTTTCTCCCCCTTCTCGGGGCGCTAAAGAGTTCGGAGAAATCTGCATTTTAATTGACATTCCAGCGAGAGGGAGAGGGGCGCCTGATTGCTTTTCTATTCAAACTAAACAGGCTTTTCAGATGAAAATGAGTCGAGGCTGGTGGAAGATTTACAGGGATTTGGGACCAAAGGGACAATGGAGTTTTAAATGTTGATAGCATTTCACACCAAACACATAATGGGTGCCCAGAGTTTGAAAGCAGTTTTGCCTTTAAGGGTAGATTTTATTGAACTGGGGCGGGGAAGCAAGGTCCTAAGAGTCTGCAGGGCAGCGGGCTGCATGCGAGCGGAGGAGCGGAGCTGCGGAAGCTGGTCGCCCCCGGGCGGCCTCCTGCGCCTGCTCCCTAGCCGCTCGCGTCCCGAGAGCCAGCGCCACTGAGGGCGCCGAAAGACTGAGCGCGCAAGTTAGAACTCGTCTGCGCTTTCGACATCTCGGAGCGGCTGCGGGCAGAGCAGGCAGGCGAACTAGACAAAAAGTCGGTCCAGCTCGCCCCCTAGCCCCAGGCGCGCTGCGCTCCCTCCAGCGCCGACAGCTACCGCAGGCAAAGGGAGCCCGGCACCGAAATCCGGGACCCGAGCCGGGACCTCCCCCAAAGGTGCCACCCCCGGCCATCTCTACCCCTTTGGGGATGTCGCCGGCCCCACCTCAGCAGCCTCCCCCCCGGGGAAAGGACCCCCACCCAGGGCCTGCATAGAACTGGCCAGGAGCTTCCCGAGCCCAGGGGCAGGGCACCCCAAAGATGCCTCTTCAGAGTCCGGGTCTGCGGACTGTGTCAACTCAGGAAGCCCTGCCGCGCGCCCACTCCGGACTGGAAGAACGAGCTCAGTAGGCAGGACTGCCCGCTGGAGTTTGACAGGAAAGGGGTGGCAGCGGCAGATGTCAGCATCTGAATGGGGGTGCTAGAGGCAGATCTCCCCAGACGCCACCCGTCAGCACGCAACCACTTCCCCCATCACCTATCCAGCCAAACAGCAAAGACGGAGTGCGCCCCCACGATGCCAAACACCCACACACAGCCTCTGCAGGGAGACCCGAGCCCTGCGTCCCCGGCTCCCACGGCGCCCACTTTCCCCGCTGGCTAAGCTCCTCCAGGCGTCCGGCACGGCGATTACCTTGAATGGCAACGCTCCTCCGCGATCGGTGCCGTCCCGGAGCCTGGTGTGGGTCGAGATAGAGCAAGCGAAGAACTCAGGGAAGAAACTCCAAAAAAGAGAGTGGTCCTTGAGTCCTGGCCGGCGCAGAGGCTCGGAGGCTTCACGCACACCCCAGCCCACGGAGGGGCGCGGGCATGACGCCGCGGGCTGCCCTCGGAATTGGGGAGCGAGAGGAAGAAAGGACTTGGGCTTGGAGTTGCCTCTTCCAAACTTCGTTCGCAAGTTGCGAAGGCTCAGAGCGCGCAGCAAAGCTGCAGCCTCGGGCCCCGGAGCTCGGGCCCGGGCACCCGCCAGCCCGGAGAGGAGTCGCCAAGCCGGGCCAGTACGCGCAGGCAGCCCGCGGCGCCCGAGCTCTGGGGGGCCGCGCTCGCTCGATCGCTCGCTCCCCCGTGCGTCCGCTCAGCACCGCGCCCGCCGCCCGCCTCTCGGCTCTCCCGGCGCTCTCCCTGCGCCGCCCGCGCCGCCGCCGCCGCCGCCGCCGCCTCCTCCGGCGGGTCACGCCCCCGCTGAAACCCGAGCCGTTTCCTGGACGGCGGCGCCCGCTCTGCCAATCAGCGCCGTGCGCCCCCGCTGCCCCTCAGCCCCGCGCGGCTCCGACGCCTCGGAGCAGCAGCGAGACACCGACCCGGGTGGCGAGGGGCCGGTCACGATCGCCAAGGGCGGGGGTGCCACGGGAGCCTCCGAATAAGGCCTGGTCCCGAGCCCCGCGTCGCCGCCGCCTCCTGCTTTCCTGGCGAGCGAGGCTGGCCCAGGGTTTGCAGAGTGATTGCGTTACGTTGTTTTATGTCAACTTAGGAAACACATGACGGAATGCCCTCCCCCCCCTCCCCCGCAAAGAAACCCTCAAACACGTCGACAAGGTATCAGAGCGAGAAATTTCATAGGAATGAAGCATTTGGTGGAGAGGAAGCAATTTGGAAATGTTTACAGGACGAAGTTGCATTTTTCTGTCCTTCTAAACAATAGAATGAGGTGAGAGAGAGAGGGAAAAAAAAAAGATGGATAGTTGTGGAGGTTGGACAGGTG